GGAGGGAGTGGATACTTGTGGATGTGGTACCATTCAAGCGGGAGCTGCTTTGTCCTGGATGGCGCCAAGCTTCTTGAGTGTTGTTGGAGCTGCATCCATCCAGGCAAGTGGGGAGTATTCCATCACACTTCTGACTTGTGCCTTGTAGATGGTGAACAGGCTTTGGGGAGTCACTTGCCGCAGTATTCCTAACATCTGACCTGCTCTTGTAGCCACTGTGTTTATGTGGTGTGTCCAGTTGAGTTTCTCCAACTTTTTGTGCGTCTGTTTGAGGTGAGTCATGTTGTGTTTGTGAGGAGAAGGAGGCTACCACCAGTTCCCTCCCCTTTGCTGGGTGGAAGGGCCTGATTGGTTTACAGTGGAAGAGGGAAAACCACAAGTGAGTCCTAACAAGCAGAGGCACTTGTGTGAACAAGTTGTGTTTTATTGCATGACAGCAATTTGGTCCGAGTTACACTTGTCTAGTCAGGGCTTTTATGGTGTGGTGATGGTGATGGTGTCTCTACCTCTGAGCCAGGAGGCCCGGGTTCAAGTCCCTCATGCTGTCAAGGTGTGTAGTAACATCCCTGGACAGACTCAGAAACTATCTGTTTGTGTCCTAGCAATAATGTTTAATGGTCGAGTTGGAAGCCTGGGATTTTCTCCTCCCAGTTTCTTTATGAGCTTCTGTTTGTGGGTTGTGCAGATATTGGAAGGAGTGAGTGCTCAGTGATGACCTAAAAAGGACAACTTTAAGAATACATGGATTTCAAGTTGGTAATTATTTTAAACAGCCCATAGATGACACTTTTTCTGAGACAGCTCAGCAGCTACCAAGTGCCAACGTAGGGAGAATGGTCTTCCTGGGATTTTCAGTTGCTTTCGGGATCTTCTCTCAGTCTGTTTCTCTTGTCTCTAGGCGTGTGCACCTCGCTACAAATGGAGAGGCAGTGAGCAGCAGCGGGAATTGGTTGGGACCTGTTACCTGTCGCTGCGGAACTTCAGTGACGTGCTAGAGTATGCCCCGTGTCGTACCAGTAAGTGCTGCTGTGTATTTTTCCCGTGGTGCCATCAGTCTGGAGTGTTCCATAGAGACAGCACCGCACCCATCCCCCAGTTCTGAACCCAAATTAAAACTCGGAGGTCCCCTTCACACTGTGTTTTCACTACATTTGAATCATTCTCCTACTATCATTTTGCTCCATTCACTTGTTGCCTCGTGTGTCTGTGCCTGTGTTTGTGTCTCTGTGTGTGTGTGTGTGTGTGAGAGAGAGAGAGACAGAGAGAGTGTGCACGCGCGCGCGCGCAATTCTGTGTGTACGTGTGTGTGTATCTATGCATGTGCCTGTGCACCTGTGTGTGTATGTCTGTGCGTGTGTGTCTGTCTGTCTGTGTGTCTGTGTGTGTATGTCTGTGCGTGTGTGTCTGTCTGTGTGCCTGTGTCTGTGTGTGTATGTCTGTGCGTGTCTGTCTGTCTGTGTGCCTGTGTGTCTGTGTGTGTATGTCTGTGCGTGTGTGTCTGTCTGTGTGTCTGTGCGTGTGTGTCTGTGTGTGTATGTCTGTGCGTGTGTGTCTGTGTGTCTGTGTGTGGCCACTCTCAGTTGTAGTGATGGGTCTGCCATTGTGATGTAAGTGATGATGCTGTTCATGTTTTGACAGAATGGCACACGCCAGCTGGCCAGGGTTACTGCCAAGGTGGTTTCAGTGCTGACCTGACAGAGGTAAGTGTCTCCAGTCCGTCTTGTTTGCCGTGCTGTGATGCTCCTGTTGCTGGCTTTCCTGGGGATGCTGAACATTAAACTGTTCCCAGAATCCCAGTTCCTGGAGGGAGCCTGCATTCTTTATTGGATGCTGTATTCCTTAGAACTAAAGGGAAAGACCTTCCAAGTTGGAATGGTTGGCAAGGCCAGTGGCATCACGGGGTTGAGTTTCAGGACAGCAGGCACAATTCCTAATGCACGTTTTGACCTCGGCAGGGTTTGTGTTACAGCTGCATGAATCCATTGGGGATGTCGTGAGGTTTAAACAAGGGCTACCTTAGAATTTGTGGCTCTTAACCCCACCCCACAGGGTTCATCAACAGGTCTGCTTAACCCACGTGGCAGTCCTGGGCAGTGCCACTGAGACACACAGAGCAATCGATAACAGCTTCAGCCATTGCTCTGAGCTCAATAGTGCTGTTTGTTAGTGTGCAATGGTTTGATTGTGTTAATCAGTTGTCGGACCTATATAACCATATGTAATTGGTCAAATCCAAATTAGTTCGCACCAACCAGATATCCCAATCTGATCTAGTCCCATTTGCCAGCATTTGGCCCATATCCCTCTAAACCCTTCCTATTCATGAACCCATCCAGATGCCTTTTAAATGTTGTAATTGTACCACTTCCCCTGGCAGCTCATTCCATACACGCACCACCCTCTGTGTGAAAATGTTGCCCCTCACATCTGTTTTAAATCTATCCTCTCTCATCTTAAACCTATACACTCCAGTTTTGGACTCCCCTACCCTGGGGAAAAGACCTTGGCTGTTCACCCTATCCATGCCCCTCATGATTTTATAAACCTCCATAAGGTCACCCCTCAGCCTCTGACACTCCAGGGAAAATAGTCCCAGCCTATTCAGCCTCTCCCTATAGCTCAAACCCTTCAACCCTGGCAACATCCTTGTAAACCTTTTTTGAACCCTTTCAAGTTTCACAATATCCTTCCTATAGCAGGGAGACCAGAACTGAACACAGTATTCCAGTAGTGGCCCTAACCAATGTCCTGTACAGACACACCATGACCTCCCAGTGTCTATACTCAACGTACTGACCAATAAGGGCAAGTGTACCAACCACCTTCTAAACAGCAGGAAAGTGGCCACAAACTGATGAGCCTGATGTTAGCAATTGCAGAACAGGCGAGAGAAAATTGATGGCCTACTCCTTCTAATTTATATGAATAGAAATATAAACATTGAAATATAAGTGTGTTTAAATGTTCAGAATAGAACTGGCACTCTGAGCAGAAACAATATGTGTTGGCAATCCTGTAAATTCTGTGACACTTCAAGAAACTTGTTATTGATTTAGAATGAGAGTTGTCTGTGCAGTGCTGTG